TTTTATTTTTCGAGACAGGGTTTCTCCATAGCTTTTTGGTTCCTGTCCTGGAACTAGCTCTTGTAGACCAGGCTGGCCTCGAACTCACAGAGATCCGCCTGCCTTTGCCTCCCGAGTGCTGGGATTAAAGGCATGCGCCACCACCGCCCAGTGGGTTTGTTGTTTTGAGTCACCATCTTGCTATGTGGCACAGGCTGGCTGCGAACTGATGATCCTTCTGTCTTGGTCATGTCTACTGCTGGGGTCATGGGCATGCTGTGCCATGCCTGGATTTATATTTATGTCCTTGTCCCTTCTGTGAAATCTTTAGGCCAGTTGAGCAAAACAATGTTTTCAAAAACATGGAAGAATCAAGAACAAGAAGCTAGCTGTTGTGGTGCCTTCGAGTAGGCACATGCTGAAGATGAGGCAGGGGAGCTCAAGTCCATGTGTTGTGGCACAGAACTAGAATCCCAGTGCTCAGGAGTTTAAGACAGGAGGCTTGCCACAAGTTCATTGTTGTCCTGGCCTATAGAGAGCTATGGGCCAGCCTGGGCTATATAAGGATACCCTGTATCAAAGTACCAAAAACCAAAATGAAAAAAAAAAAAAAAAACTAAGGATTTAACTACTGTACAAACTAGCAACTGTATAGTCTTGGTCATTTAGCTCAGAAAAATGAACACTTAAATCTCTGTATACAGATGTGTATAATGTTTTTATTTATAATAAGTCTAAACTAGAAAAAACACAGACATCCTCAAATTGGCTGTATAGCTGAGGGTGGCCTTAAACATCTATCATACTGCCTGTACTTCCAAAGTGCATGAGATCTGAAATTCAGATGTTCTTCATATTAAAAAATTATAGAATGAGCCATGCATGGTGCATATATGCCTTTAATCCCAGCACTGGGAAGAAGAGACAGGTGGATCTCTGTGAGTTTGACACTAGCCTGGTCTATATAGAGTTACAGGACAGCCAAAGCTACTTAGAGACCCTGTCTCAAAACAAAAAATCTACAGAAACAATATTATAGAATAGCTTTTACTGGGTTTTTGGGCGTGGAGACATACAGCATCTCAGGCAGGAGCCGCCTCCCTTCTCTCTCCAATGAGAGACGATATGGCTCAGTGGTAGAGATCTGCTGAGCACATGCAGTGTCCAAGGTTCAGTCCTCCTAAAACGCCATGTGCTGAAGTACGAGCTGCCTTCCAGTTTTTAAAGTGCTGTTGACCAGGACTGGCAGGGCTGAACAGGTGCATCTTGTGACGTTTTATTCACTCACTATATTATCTTGGTTATGTTTGTTTTTTCAGGTTTTATTAATTTTTGTTTGTTTGTTTTGAAACAGAGTCTACTGTAGTCCAAGCTATCCTCATATTTACCTTGTAGAGAATAGTAGCTTTGAACTCATGGTCCTCCTGCCCCTTCCTCTCCGCGGCTAGAATTTCAGGCATGCACCATCATGCTTGGTTTAAAAAGAAAAGAATAGTTATTTCTAAAGAAAATTTAAAAAATAATTCATTGGGGCTGGAGAGATGGCTCAGTGGTTAAGAGCATTGCCTGCTCTTCCAAAGGTCCTGAGTTCAATTCCCAGCAACCACATGGTGGCTCACAACCATCTGTAATGAGATCTGGTGCCCCCTTATGGCCTGCAGGCATACACACAGACAGAATATTATATACATAATCAATCAATCAATAATTTAAAAAAAATTAATTCTTTGTTATTGGGATGGAGTACATATGACACAGTGCATATGTGGTCCAGAGACAACTTGGTTGAGGTGGTTCCCGCTTCATGTAGGTCCTGAGGATCAGGCCTAGGTCACAAGCTTGTGCCTTACCCGTTGAGCCAGCTCTCTGGCCATTTTCTTACTTTTCCCGAGACAATGCCCCTTTCCCCTTTGGTGCTGTGGAGTGAGGTAGCCACTGATTCCTTTGTTTCAGTTTTGTTTTTCAATTTGAAGTTTTGTTTGGTTCCTCTTTGTATATTCTAGTTTCTCTACTCAAACTATCCATTTCTTTGCTGTGGCTACTTTCATGTTTCAAGCATATTCATGATTTTTATGAAAGGATTGTTATTATGACTGCTTTAAAAACATTCGTCAGGCAGCTCTAGCACCCGGATCTTGTTGGCGTTATTGTCTTTCTTTGAGTGGGTACATGAGCATGTGGGGGCCTGGGCTCAGCCCTGGTGTTGGCCCTACAGGTCCACCCACCTTGTCTTTGGAGACAGGGTCTCTCACTAGCCTGAGGCTGAACCGTTAAGCCAGGCTGGCTAGCAGGGAGCCCCGACCCTGCTGGGTCTATCAATTCAATGGTGCTGTTTTGACTTGATGACCTTCTGTCCCTCCCAGATTCAGGCCTCTTCAGGAGAAACCAAATACACTGGTACCTTGGACTGTGCAAAGAAGCTCTATCAAGAGTTTGGGATCCGTGGCTTCTACAAAGGGACTGTGCTCACTCTCATGCGAGGTAAACTGAAGCACTGCACTCTAGGTCACCTGGAAAGGTCAGCTGATGAGAGTCTGTCACAAGAAGCTGACTGGACTGTAGACCAGTGCTGACACATGCCCTTACATGCCAGTAACATGTGTCCTGCTTATAGGCAGTCTCATCCAGTGTGGACACAGAGAAGGATGGATCGGTTTATCCTTCCTGAGTGTCTTCAAGGATGGAGTCATGATGTGGGAAGGCAGTGTCTACTCGTTAGAAATCATGAGAGGGGAGGAAGGAAAGACTTAGGAATAGTGAGCATCTCTTCAGGGTTTGTGCATGTTGGGCAGTGCTCTACCATTGAGCCACATTCCCAGACCTCCTCTTGGTTTTGACAGGCAGGACTCCAGAGGCGAGACAGTCTTAACCTGAGATGGTAGCTTGAAGGAAGTTCAATTAACTGGGATTGTAACTGCTTAGAGCTGGTGCACCGTGGTGACCACCTACAGGGACTTGGAAGAGGAATTACATCGTTTGTTTACTCTCATGCTAGTACATGGCTCTCAGCAGCATCTGACAGCTGCAGGATGACTGTTAAAGATAGGGTGTAACTGGCATGCTGGAGCAGTACCCCACCACGGGCCAGTCTGGTCTACGAGTGGAGCTCAGAGTTCCAGGGTAGCCAGGGTTACACAGAGAAACTAAAACAAACAAAAAAAGATGTAGGGCCTGGAGAAATTGCTGAGTGGTTAAGAGCACTGGCAACGTTTCTAGAGTACTCAGATTCAGTTCCCAGCACCCACATCACAGCTCACCACAGTCTGTCACTCCACTTCTAGAGAACCTGATGTCTTCTTCTGGCCTTTATGGGCATCGCACACATATGGTGCACAGACAAGCACGCAAAATTCTCACACATGTAAAATAAAGAATATTTTTGGTTGTGAGTCTAGTCTTTAATGGCTGAGCCATCTCTCTAGCCCATAAAATAAAAAATAAAGCTCAAAATTTTAAAAATAAAAAGGATGAGCCTGGCAGTGGTGGAGCACACTTTCAGTCAGGCAGATTGCTAAATTCAAGGCCAGCCTGGTCTACAAAGAGTTTCAGGACAGCCAGGGCTACATAGAAAAACTCTGTTTCAAAAACAAACAAAAAAAAGGACATAGCTGCTTAAGAATTTCTTGGGCTCTTCCCAGAGAAGAGCACACAGTCCTGAAGATGAATGCATATAAGTAAAATTATACAGACCAAACAGGTTGGATTTATGTATTTATACTACATATGTGTGTATATATGTAGTATCTATAGTATATATTTAATATGAATATATGTAGTATAAATATATTTAGTGTGCGTATATGTACATATGTGTGTACATGTATATATATACACATACTTATATATGAAAACAAGGAAAAAGGTTGTGATTTTGAAAGAGAGCAAGGGGGTGGTGCATCACGGTGGGGTTGGAAGGAGGAAAGAGAAAGGAAAATGATGTAAATATAACCTCAAAAAATAAATTAGCACTGAGACAATGGAGATGCTCTATAGGGAACTCACCAAGGCCAGCTGACCTGGGTCTGAAAAAGCCTGGGTTAAAACCGGTCTCACTGAACATAGCGGACAATGAGGACTACTGAGACATCAAGAACAATGGCAATGGGTCTTTGATCCTACTGCATGTAGTGGCTTTGTGGGAGCCTAGGCAGTTTGGATGCTCACCTTACGAGACCTGGACGGAGGAGGGTTTTCCTCGGACTTCCCACGGGACGGAGAGCCCTGATTGCTCTTTGGGCTGACGAGGGAGGGGGAA